TATTTAGTTGCGTTTGCGACCGGAAAAAGGAGCCGAGAATTAGAGCCGCGACGCATGAATAATTTCTCGGTGATTGCTCGCATCGTCCATCGACGGAATTGGCCGAAATTGGTCAAAATTGGCCGTGCCGTGAGGCCAGGTAATGAAATGTGCGCTTTTCAAGAGGCTAGATTGGATCCTTCCGTGTTTTTTTTTTCACTCTTTTTGCGGTTCCTCCCGAACGTTCGATGTTTCCTTGGCGACGTCCGGAAACTCCTGAATAAATAATCAAATTCGTCCCGTCCGTCTTCTATTAGATTGTAATAATGTTTGCACGGCTGTTAACGCGTCAGGGAGGGGAGGGGGGAGAGGGGGGAGGGGGGGGGGGTCCCGCCTTGCAATCAATCATTTCATTTGCCTTGGTGCTGAGAATATCGAGAGGGACCCGCCCAACCAAAAGACGGCAGACTGGTTTTTCGCGGAAATTTGGTGCGGAATTTTTTTCGAAGCTCTGGAACGAAGCCGAATCGAGATTGTGCAAGCTGATTGTGCTTTGTTCCCCCCTCCCCCACCCCCTCCCCCACCCCACCCCCACCCCCACCCACCACCCGGAATTCCGAGAGCTGCTGGATTTTTTTTTACTTCGAAGTCAATGGATAAGAAAGAAGGTTTTCAATCTTCCACGTTTCAGAGTGGAGGGCAATTAAAATTTCAAGCACAGAACTGAATTACTTGAGGTTACTCGAGATTATTTGATTACTTGAGGAATCCTTTTGCATCATACACATTTTTTTTTTTTTTACGTTTCTCCCTTATTTGAAAAAACGAGACTGCTTGCTCGATCGCTCGATGCGTGGGTGTCCTCGCGAGCAACGGCGAGTGAAGCGCTATTTCTTTCGATTTTGCAAAACTTCTGCCATTTGGTAAAATCTGAATCTTATTTGAGGTTTGAAATCTTCATTCTTTAACAAATTTGATGAACGACAAGCCGGTCAAAGTACAATCCAGCGGCAAGACTCCATTGATAATGCTAATTTTCTGGAATGAAGGGAAGGAGGAAGAAGCATGGGAATGGAGAGGGGGTGGGGCGGGGCGGGGCGGGGCAATCGCTCCTCGCTTCGATGTCTGTCAACCGGAACTTATTTTTTTATGTTTCTTCAATGATGGAATGGGTTGAAAATCAGACGTGCTTGCCAGATTTGCAAGGTGCTACGAAAATGTAAAAAATAATGTGACGGACAAGGATGGCATCGAGAGGCTCGACTGAATGTCCGGGGTTCGGTGGTGTAGTGGTAGCACACCTCACCGGCATATCAGGAGGCCCGGGTTCAATTCCTGGCCGTTCCTTGGGTTCTTTCGACCTCTCGTGCCGTCCGACTCCCGAAGTTCCCCTCCGTAACGATAAATAAATAAATGTCAAATTTTAAATTAATTTCCTTGTAGACTTTGACGGAAGTCTACGCTGGCCGACGGAGAGATAATGGCACACACACACGGAGACACGCAAGCAATTACAAGGGCGGCTTCATTCTTTTTTCCAAAGAGGGGAGGAAGAGGGGAGCCGATACATTCAGGGTGAGACTCGTAGAGTGGCATAGAGTGGAATGGAGTGAGGAACCACCTCCGCTGGAATCGCCACTGAACACGCAGGAGTCCTTCTTCATTCCTGCTGCGTTCGTCATACCATTCACCGTAGCTATGCTAATTATGCTTGCATCACCCGTAACGGCGCGCTTATGGGAGGCTCACTAATGGACAAAAAGATGACTTACTTGTTTATTCATAGGGTAGTGGCAATCGATAGGCGCTCGAGCGCCTATGACCTTCCCTCTGCCCTTTCCGTTCCTAATTTCCGCCTCCTCGTGTTTCTGCCTCTGAGGTCATCAGGAGGAACGAAATCGGGCATGCTTCGCATCGTCTCGACGTCGAATCGAGTCCGGCAGATTTGAAGCTCGAGCTCCGCGGGGTCGCTGGATCTCGCTTTTTCAAGAGGGAGTTGAGGGGGAATGCCTTTCAAAAATGGCTTCCACACTATTCCGGATTCGTACTATTTCACATTATTGAATTTACTCTTTTTACTCCAAAGCAATGTAAATATGCAAGGTGCTGGAAGAAAGGCTCGTCATCTGTCCTCTTTGTCGAACAATTCCAACAAGCTTTCCCGGAAATTTACTCAATCTAAGGCATCCGAGGCGGAAATTGAACCGATTTTCCTCGTATGGCCGCGATCTCAGTTCTTACCGATGCCGACCGTCACCACCTTCAGGTATACAAGACAAGTCGGTAGGAATCGAATCAACATGTTGTCGAGAAAGTAAGAGTGATGCATGTGGATGATACGGGTGGGAAAGGATCCATGTCTTTCTCGGCTTATCTTCCTAAATGTTCGATTCCGAGTCTCAAATAAATCATAAAATCTTTCGCATCGACAGAGACGCGTCGAAAGAGAACTCGCATAGGTCGCGAGGACCGGCACCTCGAGTAACGCATCCTGGCCCCTCAAACAACGTATTACATCGAATCGGCATCGATTGAGTGTCGATTGAACGCAATTGCATGGGGTTCACGATCTCGTCGACGAGTGGGACGGCCATCTATGGGAATCGATGAAAGGGCAAATTATACAGTATACCGGGTGGCCCAAAAAAAAGTCCCGAACTTCGTGCGACTGCATAGCGGACATCATGCCGAGCATCGTCTTCAAATTTCAGTGCATCATACCCAGTATATGTAAATGGTTTCAGGAAGATTTCGATGAAATTCCTTGCTCTAAACACAAGCAAGAGCTTTTCCCGTCAGAGGAGCAAGTGCGTTTGCCGGCGTGCTGCCTCCACCCGCGATCCAAGGAGGATGCATCTATGGAGGACCCGTCGAACATTTTTTCATTCGGGTCTGGCGCGCTTCTTTGCATAATCGCTCTTTTAACATCGCGCGGGAGAAAAATTGTTACTCACGAATTTTACAATCAATTTCAATGTATTTTTTTTCATTATCCGCAAACATTGCATGTAAAATCCTGTAAATTTCCTGTCGATAACCCATACGGCATACCGTCTGCAGGCGAGCAAAGTTCGGGACTTTTTTGAGGCCACCAGTTATAAATATTTCCCCTGTTAATACCGTGCCACCTGTGCTCTTTCTGTCGACGAAAGAGCACAACTTGCGAGCAATAGGTCCATCAAGGAGAGAAAGTTTTACGCTCGATGGGGCAAGAAAGGACGCATTTCGTCCGATGAAAGGTGGACAAAGCCCAGTCCAATAGCGAGCCGCCTTCGATGAATCGAGCATGGAGATGAAAAGAACGAAGAACGGCATCGAACGACTCTAATGCGAACATTTTCTACCCAAAGGCCCTCGTGGTTCGGATGATGGGAATGGGAAATTGGGGTCGTTGGGGACAAATGAGGAACATCTAACGAGTTCGATAAGAAATCTGATCTCGTCTCGAGATGCCATCGTGCTCGTCTACGAGAGTTTCTCAATTTCACACGATCATTTTTCATGAAACATTTTGTACTAAATGGCATCTTTTAACGCATTTGCAAAGGTTTGGGGAAGCTTGAGATCGAGAGAGGAATTTTCCCACGAGATTCAGGAATACAATTAAAAGATGCGAGAGGATCTCATGCAAAAATATAATCGGTACGTGACTCGGTACTCGGTACCGTACTCGACGATTCACAGGCAAAAGTTGCACTTCTGCTGCTTCATTCCAATCGCGTCGTTTTTCTCCATACAATCCTTTCCTCGTCCAGTGAAATACTCCCATCGTACTTGAAGCACTTTACGGAAGCCAAGATAACCTTCACTTCCAGCAGAATGAATCATTCACTGGCTCGAAACCTGTTAAACTGTAACGTTTTCCCTCGATCCCGCTTCTACTTACGATCTGGAGGCCGTTTCACACTTCACGTTTCTTCAGGGTCATGCACATGCACGCATGCTCATTCACGTCGGAAGGAAACGTGAGCGAGTTCGAACGCATCCACACTCACGTCGAGTCGTAAACTCGAAGCGTGAACGACGTGAAGAGCGAGAGCACCTTGCTTTGACGGAACGCAAGCGGACGCGTGCAAACGCGAATGTCGCATGCATCGCAGATTCGCTCGCGCCACACGCAGTAGACGCTGAGAGTGGAAATACCTTTACGCCTGCACTCATCTAATACCAATAGTCTTCCCTTAAAATGGTGTTATATCTGCAGTTGAATCGCCTTTGTTTCCCCGTCCAGATGGAGACGAGCAAGGGAAATAAAGAACACTGTTTACATACTAGTAATATAGTCATATAGTCTTCCTTATTCCGCGTTCAATTGGCAGTTCCGGTGGTAAGACACCTATCACTGAAATGCAGAATGCCCTTGTAATCGCTTATCAGTGTCCAAGAACGCCACAGTTCAGACTCGACTTGGTAGCTCAGAGAAACAGTGACTAGGAAGGAAAGAAAAAATGCTAACTTCACTATTCCCACAATGTTTTCTGCAGTAAGTGGCGAGCAGGGAAGCAAGAAAAACCAACTCGTGTACGGCAAGTTAATATATTCACCGTGAGAGGTGTGTTATCCTGCTGCAAACAATTCATTTCGTTTTCGATATTTTCCAGCAACGACGTAATTTCATTTTTCCAATCACATTTTCGATGCGACACGACTAGAGAGCCATTGATTTATAGCCATATCACACTTATTCCAATCAGCATGACGCCTTTGCGGCGTGAAGCTTTTATTTGTAGCCATTAAAGTGGGATTGACATCGTTTAGGCGGCAAAGGGGGATTATTGCCGTTCGCTTAGCATTCAATTGCCAATTCGGTCGTACTGGGTCTGTTGTAACGAGAGAGTAATGCCTCCGTCATTTCCCTTTCCTATTTTATACATTTTGGGAAATTCTTCTTCCCTCCCTCTTATTCTCTCCTCCCCCCCCCCCCTCTTTGCGAATCCAACATTATCAGCTGTGATTCTGGATTACTGGATTCTGGATTGCATGATTCCTCGGATATGCCTCTCTCAATGGCAATTCCACAGGACGAGCGATCGAAATTGATGAGAAGAACTATCCTGCGACACGTGAACCTGGGGATTATCTGCTGCATGAGGTTCTTCAGCAGTCGGGTCAGGAAACGATTCCCGTCCATGAGAAGCCTCGTTGAAGCAGGTGAGAACATCTAAGAGGAATGGAAATAACTCTTTGGCTTGTGTGCTTCTCTTTTCTACTGCGCTGTCAGTTACTTCAATCGAAACGCTCGAATGCTCTTTTAGTGACATGCAATCTCGATAATCCAATTTATGCATAAAAAGTCACCGTGCTAAAAAAAAAATGGAGACTAGGTAATTTAAAAAAATTTGAACGCATTATTATCATACTCAAAATAAAAATCAAGCAAACCCCACCTTCGGGAGTATTCGTAACTCATCATTTATTCCGTCAGAGGGATTAGTATATTCAGTCGTGAAATTCTTCATGCAAAAGAAAAATGCTCAATAAAATGTTTTCACGCAGGAAAACCTTTGTTAAATAAAAAAAATAGAGCATGGAGTTCCACTTCTTCACAATTCATACTTTCTGGATGCACCACTCCCTGCATATTAATTTGTTGGAAAAATCAACGAATTTCGCCTCTTGATTTGCCTAAAAAAGTTTTAAAAGTGTTTAAAAAGTTGGTTACTGCTCATTTTTTTGTTTATACTATAAAAACCCGTGAACAGGAAAGTCGTATAAATTTATGCAAATTCTTGTGCAAATACAGTTTGTTAAAACCGTTGACTATGTAAGTTGACACACCCTTGATCATATTTATCACTTCTCGCAATAAGGGCTAATGGAAGAAGGCGAAAGACGGATGATGGAAGTGATGGCAGGAGATTCGTTGAGATCCATGTTCTGGATCCCCCACATGTGGGCGACGAGAATCGCCCATCAAGCCAGGGAGGAGAATCGGATCGAAAGCGACTTGGGTCTCCGAGGCATCGTCGATGCCGTCAACGGTGTCCGTCGGACGTGTGCCCTCTGTCAACATGTGGAATTCATAGAAGTCCCGATCGTCTACTCCCAGGTTCACTTACAACGTTGCATCAAATATACTTTTCTTTCAGGAAGGAATTTTATTTTTCGATGAGGTGGTATCTCTTCTTCCCGAGAATTCGTTATCCCGATAGGAAGTTACACGGTGTGAGTTATCGAAATTAGTTATTAATACTTACATCATTAATGATGTCATACAGTATAATATCGATTTGATTTTGCGAGGATTAATAATTCAATTCTGGGAATTGTTGCCATGGTAAACCGAAAATGGATGTATTGATGCTCTTTCCAAATGTGCCCCTTCCGCATAGTCCCATACAACAGTATATTTATTTATTTTTTAAAAGCACCGCTTTAAGCTTTAAGGATGAATTTTCTCTACTTTTGACGGCTCCAATGGATAATTTCTGCCTGAGTATCATCTATCGATTGAAATCATCCGGCGATCCATTTGGCACTTGGGTGCTGGAAAGAGCCTAGTCAATGAACCTGGTGTTCAATTCCGAATTCCACCAGACGTTGAAGAAAAAGAGACCTGGTGCCTGTTTCACGCATCTGCTAAACTTAATGCAAATCTGTACTTACACAGAATCTAAACCTAAAATAAATCTAGATCAAACATTAATCTAAGCCTGAACTGAAAGCAGACAAGGGGGTCAGTTCTTCATGCAGAATTAGCGCACGTACATACAGTATAGGGGGGGAGGCCAGGGAGAGGAGGTAAAACTAGAGTAAACCATAATAACAGGGAGGAGAGAACATCCATGAATTGTGGCGCAACCGAAAGGATTCAGGGATTTCGAAATCCGTTCTGAGACTTCGCCATATTACGCCATCGGGTCGGGAAGAAGTGGACACGGAACATGCCTTATTCAGAGTTCCCGAAAATAGATATGGTCCTGCCTCACCTACATTAAATCTAAACTTAATCCGAAGGTTCATTCATGTTAACAGCCTGATGGTCACTGGTAAAAGAAGGATCTACTGACAATTCATTTGTGTGGGTTCTTGCTGAGAATGCAAGATTGAAATTTTGATAACCGGCTCGTGATAGACTGTGATGATGCATTCCCCCCGGACATAGTGACATCGGAGAGACGAAGTATCGACTATGCATTCTTACTCTCCTTTGTCGTTGAAAATTAAGTAAACCCTCTACTTTTCCATAAAATGAAAAGGAGCTTCACTACTTAACTCGAAAATGAATTCCGGGCAGATTCCCCTCCCCCTCCTTAAAAAAAAAAACAAACAAACAAAATAATATGTGATGAATGCGGTTTATCTCATCAGGTGGTGACACTTGCCACTTACAGCTACTATTGTGCTTTGGTGTTCGGGAGCCAGTCCATAGATGGTGACAACAGCGAAAAAGATGATATCAACGCCTACGCTCCCATCACATCAGTATTCCTGGTAACCTGGGCTGTGACACGTACTTATGAAAATGGAACTAGCATAGATCCCACTGCAACAAGAATAATAACTTTTTTTCCCTTCTCCATTTCCCTTCCTGCCCCATCAGTTGGTCTTATATGTCGGGTGGCTGAAAGTGGCCGAGTCTCTCATCGATCCATACGGAGAAGATGATGCTGATTTCGAGCTTAACTGGCTTCTTGACCGTCACATCAAAGTGAGTTCCATGGCATCTCGGAAGTGCATCTCGTTTTATGGATGAAAATGGATGACACTCATTTGTATCTTGACTGAAGGTAACATACGTGACGGGAGAGGGGTTGAACACGGACTTCAAGGAATTCACATGGAAGGACATGTTCCCTTGGCTCTATGACCAAACCTTGACGCCGAAACCGAAACTGCTCGTCTACGCCAACATGATGGACAAAGACAAAGATGCCAAGGTGAAATACTGGAATATTGCGAACATGAACATGTCACTAACGACATTGAGAGGATAGAATTGGTTCTCCTTGCCAAGGTTTTCTTATGATGTCTATCTTGCACATGGCAGCTCACACATGCATAAAAAGGAAAACTGACGTAGCAGCCTGCACAAAAAACGAGGAAATTGGTCATTTCTATCATCTCCACTCATGGCTCTAACGATTAATGTCTGGCATGGTGATAGAGGAATGTAATGACGTGCAATGACGGCTTGGTCTTGTTTTCCCAATCGATGCAGTTCCCATAGGGACAGAGACAGCTAAATAATGTAGTAATATGATAACCATTTTTCAAAGGTTTTACCTTTTTTCGACCTCATCCTCTACCTCACCACTCCCTCAACCCCTCCCCCCACTCTACGGAACTCAAAAGTTAGGCCTCGGCTTAGCCAACTGACTGTCTTCGGGTCAGACCTAGGCCTATATTTTTCGTTCAATAGAAACTCAATCCTCGGCATACGGACCAATTAGACTTATAAGGATTCATCCCTGGACTTCCAGACGCCTCGTTGAGAACGTGCAACGTTAGGCCAATCGCATATTTTAATGTTTTAATTTTGGCTTGGCATATTATTAGTCATTTTACTACGATGTAGTTAGAAACTCAACTTTCATGCTTCAAGTATAAAATAGTTAATTGATTATACGAGTTATTTGTGTCAGATGTGATCAACATACGTAAAAAGAATGATAATTATCTTTTTAGATGCCATAATTAGCCAGGGGGGGCCACGAAAACTCAGCATGCTTTCAAACAGTTGCAGTTTCAAATTTGCATTGATTCATTAAAGTTACATCTTTGGATGAGAAAAATGAAAAGGAAAACTCTTCACGAGTCGTGAGGGATATTTACATTCTGCAATAGATTGTAGCCAGGTTAGAAAAGTAGAAAAGGTTGGGCCACATCCCAGCGGGGGGTGGGGAGAGAGAGCCAATGACGTCACTGGTATACTCTCCTCGGCTGACCGATAAAATTTCATTTTCCTAGTCTATTTCTCCTCTGTTAAAAATGTCACATCGGTTAGTTTTTTTCTAGGCAGTTTGCCTTGCTCTTTCCACCTCCATTCTATAGCCCTTGAACGATTGCATCTAGATTGTGGCGCTGCCAGGTTCGTAGCATTCGCAGATGCCAGTCCTATGTGCAGTCTCGGCCCCCAAGAACATCTGATGATTTTTGGAGCCGGCGGAGAGAAACGTTCGTTTCGTCGTTTCAAAGAATCCTGGGTTGTGATAGATCTAAGTGATGCAGTGGAAACGCGCGGGAAGTGAATTTCCTGAAGTGGACTGAGGGAGGGATTCCAAAACAACCCTTTGGGGTCGATTGTCATCTTTCGCCGAGATGATCCAATCGAAGTTCCAAGTCAACCATCGAGTATCCCGAATATCTGTAAGAACGCGGCTGTTCACCTGGATTCTCTCCATACATTCTGAGTTGCTCAGCAAGGGCAAGAAGGTGAGGAAGAAATGAAAGTCGTTCGTTGAAGTTTGCGAGAAGGAATATACGAGCATTCATGGTGTTCATGAAAACCACGTGATTTGCCATGACAATGACAAACAAGCTCCCTTCCTCTGATACAGCAGCACAGAACGAGGAAGTCTGACAATGAACGCTTATTTTCATTGCCATTTAATAAGGGCAAACGACACATGTTAACAATTTCATTAAATAATAATATATTCTCGCTGAGTCGCATCCCCCTCAAACTTTTCAGTACGGAATCCTCCCCGTCTCTTTTCCATTCGATACTTTCCCTTCCTCATTTAAGAGATGTTTTTCAATTGAGCGATTGGTTACGAAATGTGGACATTATGCTTCAAATAATATCATTACATCGGAGGAAAACCAATGTCGGGAATGGAGCAGTCGGAGCTGGTGTATACCAGTGACGTCATTTGCCCTAGGACTACAACCGCCATTATTCGAGGCTTCGCTTTCGACCCAACCTTATCTACTCTTCTAACCTGGGATTGTAGGGAGCGCAATTCGAGCGATCAATGGTCGCATGCTTCGCACCCAGAACGCATAGATACAGAAATGCAAATCCTACCGAAATTTGTTCATTTGACACTGCTCTCCCACCCTCACCTCGATAAATGCAATCTCAATTCTTCTCAAGCAATCAAACTCAGTAATCCTGACCGATGGAACAGGTAGCAAGCACCAATCATACAAACACACCTAACCTGAGCGGTACTAATTCTATCAGTGACCTATTTCTCACTCAGAGATATGATTGCATTTGGATGCTTCTAAACCCAACAGATGCCAGATCCGGTGGTGACGCCCATTCCTCCTGGTGATCCAGCCGTTTTGGAGAAGGCAACCCTTTTCCGATTACTGAGAAGGAATAATGTCCAAGTGGCACCGGCTCCTGGACCTCCGACCAATTCCCAGAATCGGTACAGTTTCAAGCCTGCTCACAAGGATGATCTGCATTTCGAAGAAGAATGGGGGAATCCGTAGCCCCATATCTGCATCTCCGCAAATGACTCTTCATGTATCATTTCTCCCCACTATTTGCACCACTCCAAAATATTCAAGTCATGCATAATTCAGCAATAAATCTATATTCTTTACACATAGCGTTGCGGTACGGCTGCTTCATCTCTCTAGCGATATTGCAATCCTTTGTAGAATAAATAAATAAATAAACAAATAAACATAAACATTAAAGCAGGGCTTTAAATGTACGTTTATTTTTCTTTTTCTTTTTTAACCAAAGTGAACATTTGAAGCTCTTTCCCAAATACTGGCTGTTACTACAGTTGCTTGAATAAATTCATAATATATGGGAAATTTTACCAAAAAGGAACAAATGTTTCTCATTATATCATTTGCCCATGAAGGCGTTAATGCCGTTCCCTTATTCATGGGCACGCATGAAGGCAGTGGAGCGTCCGCCCATCCTTGGAAGCATAGGCGAGTGCAACGAGGACAGTCGTGTGCTCCTTTTTCGAAAAATCAGCAACATGGAATCAGTTGATTGACGTAATTGTAATTAGAAAGTGAGTGTAGAAAGTGAAATCCTGAAATTTCGCATACAGTTGTATGCCATTACAGTAGTAAAGGAAGCTATTGAAGCATTCAGTATTACAGTGCTACTCCAGGAAAGATAATGGAGCTGTACTGCGATTATCACTACTTCTCAACGCGCCTCGAACTTCAATCCAAGTACTAGGTAATACGTACTACAGTACTCCGGTAATTTTCATTGATTCGTGTGACTTTTTCGACTTTTTCCCGTCATTTCTTGCTAAAAGGAACAAATACTATTGATCTTTTTTCACGAGCTGATGGGTTTCATTTCTAAAATGCATCGTCGATTCCCTAGGTATGCACTGTAGATTTTCTTGAGCTCAGCCACGTTCTTTTCGCCTGGAATCGGCTGGGAGTTCGACCAGAGAAGCGGACCCAACTGGAAAAGGGGAAGTGCCGATGGATCCGAGCGTATTAAACGCTTCTCAAAACCAATGGGTGGAAGACTAAGTATCTAAAGATTGAACGAGGGATCCTCGGAAAACAATGTGACTAGCTTTCTCTAAAGAACGCCATAATAATATCATGTTCCAGATGTTTTCCCCTGGGTTTTCTAGTATCCTTCTCTCAGCTTTGCCACGTCTCCAACACTTCAGACAGTCGGCCTTTCATTATGCAGGTTAGGCAGATGCGAGTTCAACCGGCACGCATCTGGAGAGTCATGGGTGTCCTTCCTACACTATATGCATGCTTTGAGGCAATTTTACATTTAATCTCATATGGCTTCCTCGTCGTCCTTGAACCTGCGAGAATGAGGTTCTGTGAGGTGACCTGATCCGAGGTCATCGTAGATTCTCTCAAAACCGTCGCCAAAACTCTCTTCTAAGGTCAAAGTCTTGCGAGGGGGGTGGCGATTTCTCAGAAATGCCTCTGAAATTTCATTCGTAAATCTGTCGAATCGCACATTAAAATTGAGCTGGGTAGCTCCACGCGAGCTTCACGTCAAGATAAGCAAGCCAGGGCAACTGGCTCGTTTCTCGACAACTCGACAACATTGCAAAAAAAAAAAAACTGCTCGACCCCCGACCTTCATTCGACGAAGTGTTCAAAAGTCCATGAAAAGAAAGACTTGAGAACTTGCATGAGAAAACCGGTCCTGAGTCTAATCACCATATAAACAACTATTGTCCTTTCGTGTGCAATTCTGTTATCATTTATGAGTTTAGATTTGAAGTTTAGAAGTAATTGAGATTATACGTTTTCACTGGACATGATGGAAAGATAACATTTGCAACTCATGAAGTTCCACGAGTGGTAATTTCGGGGAAAGTGGTACACTTGCGTTACGGTATCTTGGAGGAACTGTGTGAATAAAAAAAAGGGACATATTTCGGGGAAGCGAAAAACCTCCGTGCCATCCTATTGATAGCTCCCGCCATGAGAAAAGCTAAAAATGTTCATATAGGCTGTAGTTTCTTCGTCATTGCCCCAGTTTCTCCTTCTGAGATCGTGTCCATGGCTTTTTAGGCGGTTCAAGGCACGTTTGGACGACGCATTGCGGATTGCTCCGCATGTTGGATGTGACCCGTCAGGAATTGAAAAGCATTCTGAATCCCTTGAAATAGGAACAGAATATTTTGGAATTACTTATGGGTTCTTTGAGAATAGATATACGTTTAACCTCAAGTTGGCAGTGATGTAACATGACCGGAAGTAGCATTATGTTACGATGAGAGATGCCTAAAGTCCATGAAGTCTTCCTGAAGTCCTTCAGGAGGTCCGAGAACCGAGGGCGCTCAATTCAGATAAATTAATCGAGTATCTCACGTTGTCGCGCATTGAAGGCGCGAGTAATAACAAACTCGCTAGTAACTGATAATTTATAAGGAGAGGTCTAAGAGTCTTTCTGTGTTAATTGTCATGAGAGAGAGGAGCAAACAGCTATTCTATGAGTCTAACCGATGAGAAGAAGGAGCGTTGAATAATTCAGGTGAATCATCATTCATTCATCCGTTCTTGTATCGAACGGATACATAAGGAAAACTCATCGTTAGAAACTTCGTTGGGTAAATGGAAACATGTGGACTCACTGTAGATATTGTGGCGTAACAGGCGATCAAAACTATTTGATCGTTTTGTCGTTGATTCAAGTGGTAAGGCTGATCCGGTCCAGACAGAAATTCTGTAAAAATGGAACGCTTTCTTTTTAACAAAGTACTTAAGTTTATAACAAATAAAGACAATAATTATTTATTAAAAGAAGCAATTATGCTCCGTATTTACAAAAGATTCCACCAAAGTCTTAAGATACGTCAGATGAAGCAAAGAACTTCTTTAAGAGAATGAGACTAATCAATATAAGAAAGAAAACTGGATGGGAGAAGGATCCGACGAGGCTAACTTCTGACCATAAACGAATATTCTCATCTTTACTGTTTTATCTCTCTCTCGGGCCACACTTCCTCACAAAACCAAGGGAACAGTGCCAACCCGGCTGATAGTTGGTTGTCCTGGAGTCAGCTCCGGATCTGGTGAGGTCACAGTGGCGCCTTCCAGATAGCGACTGACTGCTGCATCCTAGTTTCATGCCCACATCCTCGGTACCTATGGGAGGAGCCGGGATACCTTCCTCAAAATCCGGGATCCGGATCGGATGCGGAACTAGGACCACTTATAAACCGTTGGCTTATTTTGAGGTCGGCCTGGCTTAATCTGCTTGAAGTCTTCAGGATCTTGTGATTTCCTTAATGCCTTTTTATGAGTTTTGTTTCCTGTGTTTACTCCAGTCGGGTCCAGAGTTGTCTCCATCCTTACAGTGACAAAATAGCATCATTCTCGCTTAAAAATTAATACTTGACTAAATCATATATTTTTCCTCGATTTCTTTTTAAATTGTCATTAATTATGTCATGGCATTGCATAAAAGTCAAAGTAATTTCCATCGACGTACAATATCAGGATTAACAAGGTACCAAAAGAAGGTATTTTCATAAGGGTTATGAAATAATTAGATAATATGGTTTTATTTCATCGTGATATATCATGATGAAAGGGAGAGAAAGGTGTAGAAAATGTTAGAACAGAATGGGGCTAGATTCCCGCAATTCTTTTTCACACTTCAGGAGAAGTAAATAGTATTAATTCCTCCTTCCTTCTCTCTGATTACCGTAAAAGTAAGCCAGTCATGTGCGCCTAGGGAAACAAAGTGGGAAAGTTCTATGGGGGGCAGAGAGGCGAAAAGGAAGGACGACCCAGTTCTTCTCAATATTTTTAAAATGAAGATCCTGGATTATATTGTAAATTACATTGTCCCTCCCTTGAGATTCTTTTAGCTATTTCTTGCCATTTAGTTCCGTCTGACCATCTTCAGCGTTCGAGAGAAATCTCTTATGTTTGGGCTGACAGTTGAACGCGTTTCGCATGCGAACAATAGCCCATTGTAGCAATTGGCAGCCCCGAGTCGGATATTTAGGAAAAGTAATAAGACAGGTCGACATGGACAACGAATAGATGGCACTCCAGCTGGTCTCCTTAGCATTGGTTTTTGGGTGGGTTGGCTTTTTCATGTCTCTCCGTTTGACTGAAGCAAATATGTATCATTGAAAACATTTCCCCCAGGGGATGGTATCCTCTCGAATGGACGAATGGCATAATGTCGAATTCTCTTTAGTCGAATGACCAAAAACGTCGAACGTCCTTATGGTCGAAGACAAAAATGGCGAAAGGCCAAGTCGTGGAATGGAAGAAATGTCGAAAGCTACTTTTACTGAGTCGATAAGCACATCAAGAAATTATAGGCAAAGATCCAGTCAAGTGTCCAATTGTAAATTTGCTTCAAAACTTGATTGTGTACACTAAACCTCTCAAGAAATCAAGCAAAGGCCTCAAATCAAACTCTTCTGTTACTTTCTTCAGTTTTGTGTCTCTGGTAATGTCGCATTTCTTCGACATTTTTCGACTTTCTGGATCTATTCGACATTTTCTCCGTTCCACCATGTCGCAATTCGACATTTCCTACTCTCTTCCATTCTGCCTTTCGACATTTTTTCTGGTTACATGCCATATAAAGAAGAAAGATTCAGCTAAAAAAAAAAAATTCCAGACTTGAAATATCTCAAAGGATGACCTAGAAAAAATTAATTGAATTTCGGTTCCGAAAAATCGTCGTAACTCGACCCAGCCTCCACTCGCCTTCCCTGCACTCACGAGAAGAGGAAGGGAAACGCCGACCTTGGCAGACATCGCGAGGCCGACTGGATGTGCCTGCCGCCGGATGCAGTCGGCGAGCGCAACGCCGATTTTCAGCAACCGATATCTGTAAAATTTTCCATTTTCTTTTAGGTAAATCCCATTTGGGCACATATATTGAGATGCGCATTTTCCAGGATCTTTTTCGATCCAGCAAAACAGAGAGTAATAGAAAGTTGAAACTTGCTTCAGAAGTACCTGTTCAATTGATGAGTGCAGAAAAAAAAATATAATACTTTTGAAATAAGTTTCCTAAAGGCAAATTATGGGAGAGTAGTATTTCAGAATGCATTTTCCCCTCTGACAAAAAAGGGGCACACGAAGAAATCTTATATTAGGCACACCAGAAATCATCGGAGTAACGATTTCGATAAA